CTGCCCAGTCATCCATTCCCCTCTCCCCCCACCCAGTCCTCCATCCCCCTCCCCCACTGCCAGGTCATCCATCCCTCTCCCCCACTTCCTGGTCATCCATCCCCCTCCCCCACTGCTGGGGTCACACCCAATGTGGTCCCTCCCTTTGGTTCATTGTATTTTAAAAACCATGTTTGTGACATTAGTTAGCACTCACAGCCCCCATGAGTTGCCGTGGGGGGTTGGAGAGCTGTTCCCATCAGTGGGAGAAGTGTACACAGAAGCTCAAGCTGGAGATCAGCAGGTGACGTTAGAGGTGGTGGTTGTGTGGTTTGGTCCCTGCCCAGGTGTGTTCTCTCCCTCTACTGTGGAGTGTGATCTTAGGCCTGCTGTGTGTGTGTGTCTGTGTGGTTGTGTGTGCAGGAGTATGAGCTCATGTGCACACATGTAGGTGTGTGCATCTGTACATGGGGTGTGTGTACGGAGGATTGTGTGCATGGGTGTATTCACTCATGTGCACTGTGTAGGCACATGTGCATTCGTGCATGTATGTGGGCACTGCATGGGTTGTGCATGTGTGCATATGTATACACGTGTGTGTAGGCATGTGTGTACATGCATAGGTATGGGGGGTGTGTGTGTGCAGGGTCTTTGTGAATTGGTTATGAACTAATTGTGCACATGTGTGTGCAGTGCATGGGTTTGCATGTGTGTATACAGTGTCCACCCATGCATGGATGTGTGTATGTGCATGGGTGTGTGTGGGTTTGAGTGTGTGTACATGGCATGAGTTTACATGTGTGTATGCAGAGTTGGTACACGCATATGTGGTTGTATATGCACACATGTAGGTATGTGGGTGTATGCATGGGTGTGTGCACGTGTCTTGGGGTGTAGGGGGGGTTGTGTGTGCACATGCATGGTGTGTGTACACATGGACCTATGTGTGGTGTGTGCATGTATGTGTGTGCACGTACATGGGTATGTGGAAGTGTGCATTGCAAAGTTGTGGATATGCGTGTGTGCACATGTGAGCATATATGTGTTTGCATGTATAGGATGTATACATGGGAGTGTGTGTATGTGCAAGGTGTGTGTACATGAGCACATGTGTAGTTTTGCATCTGGTGTGCCGCACATGAGCAGGGTGTGTGTGCACAAATATGCATCTGGGTGTAAGTGTGTGCCTCGGTGTGTGTGTTGTCTGGGTATGCGTGTGTGTATTGTCTGTGCACAGCTGCCAACATAGAGCAGTCTCTCACTGTTGGAAGCAGCTGGGGACTTGTGACCTGGCGTGGTTTCCCTGCAGGCCCTCTCTTGCCCCTGTCTCGGAGCAGAGGAGTAGAAACCCCCAGGACGCAGCCTGAGGGCGCTTGGTGACACAGCCTAGAGGGGAGAGGTGGTCCTCGGGCTGAGTCATGCAGTGAGGGAGCACTTGGTGCAAGGGAGGAGCCTTCTGGAAGACGGGCAGGCCTGAGGCGTCCTGTCCTCTTCACAGGCTCCTTCCTGTTCCGTGCTCCCAGCACCTCCTCACCAGGGGCGCAATGTCCCTGCGGGAGAGGAGGCAGGAGTTACATCCTCATGGGCCGCAGCCCAGTGCTGGGAACCCCAGGATGACTTCGGGGGCATTCGCCACCTTCCGGGGGGGCCGGGCCCCACCACGGAGGTCTGAGGCGGACTGCTGGACATGCGGGCTGCCCAGAGCCACCACAGAAACCCCGTCTCACTGGGGCTGTCGTCCCCCAGTGCCAGGATGCCCAGGGAGGGGGTTGAGCCCACGGTGCCCGCGAGCTGCTGCTCACTGACCCCCAGGGCCGCTCTCCTGCCTGGAGCTCATGTGAAGGCCGGTGTCCCTGGGAAGAAGAAAAGACAGGCTCGCCACTTGCTGCACGTGGGTTCTGGACTGAAGGACGCTCCAGCTTGGGTGTCTCCACACTTATTCCCCTTTGAGAGGGGTTTCTGAGGTCACAGGGCAGAACCTGCCTGGGGTTCTGTTTCCATAGGTGTGGCTGGGTCCTGCGAGGATGGACACCACGTCTGCGTTTGTCCATGTAGCCTTGGGCAGGGCAGGATTGTCCACGTGGAGACCTGACAGTAACGGTGATGTGCTGTGCCAGCTCCTCTCCAGAACCTAAGAAATTGTTTCGTCCTACAAATTTCCATTTTGTAAGAATGGCTTTTCACTTCCCAAGCTGTTCGAGGTTAGCCTGGAGGGCTG